ACTGCCGATAGTGCACCTGAAAACAGAGCACGGTCACATGTACAATATACCCAGTGCATCGCATACAATCATATTTCGCCTTATTCTACGCCGTACTTAAATAAAAGTCACGAATATCCAATCTAACACCGCCACGGGAAGTTTCAAACCGAATTCTTTAGACTATATTTACGAGTGATTCATTTAACGACGCTTTTCAGTAGTTCTGACTATGTACCGTCGAATGAGAGGATGGAAAGGATGCGAAAGGAAGTGGTCGTGGCCAAATTTATGGTACTATCCCGACATTTGCCTTGGAGGGATTGAGGAAAAACCACTAAAAGCCTCAGTGAGGATGTCCGGTCTCCGGGCCGAGATTTGAACCCTCCTCCCGAATACGAAGCAGGAGAGACAACCACTCGACCTCGACGTTCGATTTTCGACTCTATGATCAGGGCGTATTTTAAAAAAAATTCGGTACGTCCTCTGGTCAGTTGCACAACGAGAAACGTGTTATGGCAGGGGCGTCACAAAACCTAACCTCAATCTAAACAAATCTTACTTTATTCAGAGGTACCAGACGTCTTTGTTTTAACTCTACTTTCTTTTCTCCCTTTCTCCTCTTGTTTGTTTATATTTTCTTAACTTCACACCGATGGAGTGATTAATCCAGAAATATTTTATGATCAGAATAATAAGAAAATTAAGAAACAAAACGTTTAGGTTGGTACACCTGAATGGACTAGAAAAAACTTTGAAGGTTGCACACCTGAATGGAACGAAAAATAAACACGTTTAGGTTGGCACACCTGTAGGGAACAGCAGAGAGAGAGAGAGAAATACGTTTAGGTTGGCAAACCTGGATGGAAGGGCCTAACTACTTCGGAGACGTCAGTGTAGAGGGATGGGCTACATTGAAATGGATCTGAGGGAAGATGTTTCTGGAGACAGTGGAGTGGATTGATCTGGCTCAAGGCAGTGGTCTCTAAACACGGTGATGGACACTGAGGTTCCATTACAGAGAAATAAATAATGGAATATCCTACGCCATGCATTGGTTAGTTATCATATTTCGTCCGCAATTGGTTGTAATCAATTCTGTCATCGCCGTCCGTCCGCTAGTACTGATTCATCAATCAAATAAAACTCAGGACACGTTCAAACTACATGCAGAATTTTTTCCGTGTGGCCAGACGAATAATTCTATTACTCAAGGACACTGATTTCTTGCGTTCTCAAGCTACAAATGAGCTTGGCCGACAAATTAACTCAGTACGACAATTAAATACGCCGACGTCTCACTGCTTCAGGTAACGGCTTGCATAATTCATATTGTCACGTGGGTGTCAACTTATGTCAACAAATTCTGGCACAATATATTTTTACAGCTATGACTATTAAGCCTATATGTGGAGAGCCTTCTTCCTCATTCTGGTGGGTAGATGAATATCAGCTCTTAGTATGTGACTTTGACGGCGATTCCCTGCCCCACCACAGTTAGGCAACCTGCAGGAATTTACTATACCCTTCTGAATGACATAATCGTCTGAGAATAAGAAGGAATTAAGTCGATGTCGATTTCTGGTTGCAACGCCGTGTGGACTTATCGGTGCATATAAAACTTTTGGGATGAACCTACTACCTCAGTGTTCAGTGTAGAGTGAATACGGAGGCGATAGGTCCATCCGAAACTATGGTAAGGTCCTACGAGATTAATCGCCGTCACAACCCGGAAGACCACAGCAGACAAATTCATCGCTATCAAAGCCGTGGGGTGTCAGTAAAATCACACACGCTGTGCTAACGGAGTCCCAAAGTTACGCACACGAAATGTCGACCGAAAGCTTGACAGCGCGAAATATCAAATATGTCTCTGCTGACAGATGCTGAGGAAAACAGCAGAAATTGCTTATAACTGTGCGCAATTTAAGAATTTTTTTTTTAATAAATTCGTAGCACAAAATTTCAACTTCACAAGTTGATGAGGACACATGGGAGGGTAATATGAAATGCAGACTCACAAAATACGACCTTAAAAATCCGAATGCAGTGAAGGGGCACACGATACGTTACAACCATAAGCTTTTGTTACGACGATGATGAACGTTCTAAACGTATGCTATCCAAAGAAGGCGGAAACTTATTAACTAGCTGGGAAAACTATAAGGTTCTCAAGTACAACTATGCTCCGTGGGGTTATTTGATTACTTTATAAAATGCTTAGTTATCTATTTAAGCAGTCGCTTTGTTAGTCTGGTATTTAGACAGTCAACCAGTTACATTTTATACACAGGTATTTAGATAATTAATTACAATTAAACACATATATGTAGGATTTGAGATTTACACGGCGGTGAGTCTGAAGATTTCTGTCTTCTGGGGTGTTACGCCGTGTAGTCTGGTAGATGTCCACCAACGTTTCAGAGGTCCATGCTGCCTCCATCATCAGGGCGATGAATAAGCCGGCGCAACAACCCAGAAAACAGCAATCTTCAATTAAACACGTCGTTTGAAGTTTATCTCGTGTGACGTTGAGGACGCGGATAAGACAATGCGACATGTAAATTAACATTTTCAATTCGAATTAAACATCGACCACGAACTTGGTGATGTATTAGTGCGATAATCGAAGTTTCAAAAGGAAACTTGGACTTAGCGATTACACTAATAGTTTCAATACGCATTCCGATGGTACTACAAGGGCGTGGTGCCAATACCATCGTCACACGGCGCCCACGTCAGGGTGAGGTGTGTCCAGTCATGTCTCCCCAGAGGAATGTTGGGATAGTACCAGCACTTGAGGCGACTGGTACCTACCACTTCGCGCATTCGCGGTTCACTACGAACTCTGAAAACAATATT